GATTTTAAATCTATCAGTAAGTATAATTCTGCTATATTCAGAATTATTTTCCAATTGAAATTATGTGGTGATAATATTACTGATCATGATATATTGTAGAAAACTTTTACCACTTTTCATGTCTCGAATATGCTCCTACAACAGCAATATCGAGAGATGGGATTCAAAAACGTATTCTGAACTTATCTCACATCTTCTTGTAGACGAGCAACATAATGAACTATTAATGAAAAATCATGAAAGCCGACCTACTGGTTCTTGTCCATTCCCTGAAGTGAATGGGACGAACTTCCACCAAGCTAAGCGTGGAAGAGGACGTGGCCCTAGTCGTGGTTGGGGATGAAACTCTAATCATGGTAATAATAATGCATCAAAGAACCCTCCTCACCACCAGTAGTGAAAAAGAAAGGAACAAAAGCATGAAGCAGTGCAAGCAGCAAAGGCAGAAAATGCATGCTATAGATGTGGAGGAAAAGGGCACTGGTCACGTACCTGTCATACGCCAAAGCACCTGGTTGAGATGTATCAAGCCTCCCTGAAGAAGACGGAGAAAAATGCTGAAGTAAATTTTATTTCTGAAGATAATTTAAACTTCATGCATTTGGATGTAACTGATTACTTTGCACTCTTGGAAGGAGAAACAAGTCATGTGATCGGTGATGAATCTGTAGAAATGTAAATATTTAATTTTTGTTGTTTGTAATAGATAGTATAGTTATGTAATTATTGTACATAAATAAAAGTTATGCTTTGATAATGATGTTTACTATTATATTTATTTCGTTTATGTCATTTTGAAGAATATGGATAATCCTCAAATTATGTTTGGATCAAAGACCAATCATGAAGATATTTGTGCAATTGAGAGTGGAACAATACATACCATATTCAAAGATCAGAAATACTTTTTTTATTTGCATAAAGAAAAAGCAAATATTTCAACAATTTCTAGTAATATAAGTTTGATTGAAGGCTCCGGAAGAGCCACTATATTTTTGTCTAAGGGAACAAAACTTATTATAGACAATGCATTATTCTCTTTCAAGTCCCGAAGAAACTTATTGAGTTTTATATATATCCGCCAAAATGGGTATCATGTTGAGATGATAGATGAAATGAATATGGAATATCTTTGTATTACAAAAAGTATTTCTGGCCAGAAGTGCATTGTAGAAAAGTTACCAACTCTATCTTCTGGCTTATACTATTCAAAGATTAGTACAATTGAAGCACACTTTATCGTAAACCAGAATTTACTGATTCAAATATTTTTATGCTTTGGCATGACCGTTTGGGCCATCCTAGATCACTAATGATGAGACGAATTACTGAAAATTTGAGTGGGCATCCATTAACGAACCTGAAGATTCTTACAAATAATGAATTTTCTTGTAATGCTTGTTATCAAGGTAAAAAATCACTAGACCATCACCAATGAAGGTTGGCATTGAATCTCCTGCCTTTTTAGAACGTATACATGGGGATATATGTGGACATATTCACCCATCAAGTGGGCTGTTTAGATATTTTATGGTCCTAATAGATGCATCTTCAAGATGGTCTCATGTGTGCCTACTATCATCTTGCAACCTGGCGTTTGCAAAGCTATTAGCCTAAATAATTCGATTAAGGGCACAATTCCCAGATTATCCCATAAAGGCTATTCGCCTTGATAATACTGGAGAATTCTCATCTCAAGCTTTTGATGATTATTGTCTACCAGTTGGGATAAAAGTTGAACATCCTGTAGCTCATGTTCATACTCAAAATGGCCTTACAGAGTCGTTTATTAAACGCCTGCAATTGATAGCAAGACCACTACTTATGAAAACAAAATTGTCCACTACTGTTTGGGGGTCATGCTATCTTGCATGCAACATCACTTATACGTCTCAGGCCGACACATATAATAAATATTCTCCATCACAATTAGTTTTTGGTCATGAACCAAATATTGTCCATCTACGAATTTTTGGATGTGCTGTATATGTGCCAGTAGCACCACCACAGCGCAATAAGATGGGCCGGCAGAGAAGGTTAGGAATATATGTTGGGTTTGAATCACCCTCTATTATTCGCTATCTTGAACCATTGATGGGAGATTTATTTACTGCTCGATTTGCAGATTGTCGGTTTGATGAAATAAATTTTCCACAATTAGGGAGAGAGAAAAAGGAAATCAAAAGAGAAATTGTGTGAAAAGTTTCATCATTATCTCATTTTGATCCATGTACCCCTATATGTAATCAGGAGGTCCAGAAGATCATCCATTTATAAAATATAGCAAATAAAATGTCAGACACGTTTACTGATTTGAAAAGGATAACTAAGTCACATATCCCTGCAGAGAATGTGCCTATCCGAATTGATGTCCCAGCAGGACCATTTACTAGCATGAGAGTTAGTGAACCTAAAGCATGCCTGAAGCGTGGTAGGCCTTTGGGTTCTAAGGATCGAAATCATCGGGAAAAAAAATCGACAAATGATCAAAACGATACTATAAAGGGATCTCGTGAAGAGACCCAAAATCTGATTAGTTCTGAGATTCCTGAAGAAATCACTGAACCCGAGACTCAAGTAAGCGAGAAACTTTTAATAATTTCTACTGGTAATGGGATTAATTTAAATCGATCTGAAATTGTGGTCGATAATATTTTTGCTTATAATGTTGCACTTAACATTATGCAAGATAGTGAGAATTTTGAACCCCGATATGTCGAAGAATGTCGACAAAGATCTGACTGGTCAAAATGGCAAGGGGCAGTTCAATCAGAATTGAACGCATTTGCTAAAAGAGAGGTCTTTGGAGTCTTTGGACCAGTAGTCCAAACACCTACTGGTGTAAAAACAGTTGGTCATAAATGGGTTTTTGTGCGAAAAAGGAATGACAAAAATGAATTTGAAAGATACAAGGCTCGCCTTGTCGCACAAGGATTCTCACAACGACCTGGAGTCGATTATGAAGAAACATATTCTCCCGTTATAGATGCCATAACATTTCAATATCTCACCAGTTTAGCCTTACGTGAAAGGCTTGAAATACATATGATGGATGTGGTTACAGCTTATCTGTACGGGTCACTTGATAATGAGATTTACATGAAAATCCCTGAAGGATTTAAAATACCTGAAGCAAATTCAAAATCTTGGGAAATGTATTCAATCAGATTACAAAGATCTTTGTACAGTTTAAAGCAATATGGGCGCATGTGGTATAATCGCCTTAGTGAATATTTGTTGAGAAATGGTTACATAAATGATGTTATTTATCCATGTATTTTTATAAAAAAAATGGCATCAGAATTTGTTATACTTGCTGTTTATGTTGATGGCATAAATCTCGTTGGAACTCCAAAAGAGCTCAAAAAGGCAATTGAATATCTTAAGAAAGAATTTGAGATGAAAGATCTTGGAATGACAAATTTTTGTCTTGGACTGCAAATTGAACATTTAGCAGACGGGATCTTTATACATCAATATTCCTATACGGAAAAGGTCTTAAAATACTTTTACATGGACAAAGCGCATCCATTGAGTACACCAATGGTTGTTCGATCACTTGAAGTGAATAAGGACCCGTTTCGACCTCCAGAAGAGGAAGAGGAACTCCTTGGTCCTGAAACACCATATGTCAGTGCAATTGGTGCACTTATGTATCTTGCTAATGCTACAAGGCCTGGCATAGCATTTTATGTTAATTTACTAGCAAGATATAGCTCTTCTCCTACAAAGAGACATTGGAATGGGATTAAGCATATTTTACGATATTTAAAGGGAACTCTTAATATGGGCTTGTTTTATGCTAACAAAGGTAGTGCAGATCTTATTGGTTATGCAGATACAGGTTATTTATCTGATCCCCATAAAACTCGATCTCAAACCGGGTATGTGTTTACATGTGAAGGTAATGTCATATCATGGCGCTCCACAAAGCAATCTATTGTGGCTACTTCTTCAAATCATGTTGAGATAAAAGCTATTCATGAAGCAAGTAGGGAATGCGTATGGTTGAGATCAGTGATTCATTTTATTCAAGAAAAATATGGTTTAGAATGTGATAAAAGATCTACAATTTTATACGAAGACAATGCTGCATACATAGCCCAATTGAAGGGAGAATTTATAAAAGGAGATAGAACGAACCACATTTCACCAAAATTATTCTACACACACGATCTTCAGAAAAATGGTGACATTGATGTGCAACATATCCGTTCACGTGACAATCCGGCAGATTTATTCACTAAATTTTTGCCAACTTCAACTTTTGAGAAGATGGTATACAAGATTGGAATGCAGAGACTCAAATATTTGAAATAAGGTTTTCATGAGGGGGGGGGTAAAATACGCGATGTACTCTTTTTTTCCTTACTAAGGTTTTTTCCCACAGGGTTTTCCTTATAAGGTTTTTAATGAGGCAGCTAGCAATGCGTATTACTAAATATGTGTACTCTTTTTCCTTCACTGAGATTTTTTTCCCACGGAGTTTTTTCTAGTAAGATTTTAATGAGGCACATTATCTTTTAATGAACATCTAAGGGGAGTGTTATAAATATATTATATTATGGATGTTCATTTAGTATTCCGTTGTAAATAAGCTGAATAAGTTTATCCATATGAGATTCCGCCGTAAATATGTTTATCTATTTAGTACTCTATTGGAAATAAACCTATCATTTTGGTACTCCGTTATGGATAAACATTATCCCCAGTAGAAGATTATCTATATCTGGTACAGTAGCAACTTACAAGCAGCTTACACAACAACTTGCAGTAGCGTTTACAAGCAGCTTACATAGCAACTTGCATAGTTTGAATAATATATCAGTTATCAGATTTTTTCTTTTTTTTCAAATTTCACTTAATTGCCTCTCTTAATTACATCTCTCCTATTTGTTCCAATACATCGGTTCACTGCCTCTTTCTTTTCCATTACGACGCTTCAGCGGCTTTTTCTTTCTCTTCTTAGCCTTCAACAGGTAAATCTCCCTTTTCTCTTTCTGAGATTTTTATGTTTTCTTTCATGTTTTCCTGGTGCTTTTTGAATATTTATATCAAATATACTCTCTTTCCGTTCTTGATTTTCGGTTAATTGTTGCAATCAAATTTTCTTCTTTTGGTTATTTTCTATGGTATTTTCTGCGATTCTTTAATCTTTGACGAAATACTCATAAATTGCTTTCTTACAATTTGAGGATTTTAGTTTTAATTTCAGTTGGAGTTTTCTGCAAACAAAAGTTTCAGACCCTTCCACTCCTCCATTTGTTCTACCAAAAGCAAAGATGAAAAAAGAATAGAGGAAAAGGAAAAGTTGTACCGATCTGTTGCCGAAGATTTAAAATAAATGTCGGAATATTTGGTAATTATCCATAAATTATTTTAACTAGAAAGGAAAAGTTGTACTAATTGGTAGCCAGGAGATGAAAAAAATCTCAAAAAGTCTTGTAATTGTCGATCCTTTCAAAATTTTATGACCTTTTGCAATCTATTTAGCTCTATTTCATATGCGAAAATTTTCATAGCCCAAAATAAGAAAAAAATCATTTTTCTTAGAACTACTTTTTCTGATTAGTCTTAGTCACTTTTGTTACAGTATGAAGATCGAGAATGCTGGTTGTTCAAGCGCCACCAGCATTATGGTAAGCCACATTTGTTGGAGTCTTTTAGTTCTTTTTATTCAATCAATTAATTACGTCTCAATCTCAATAATTGAGGTCAATTAAATAATGCTTCTGTAGAACTGGTTATACTGTACATATTACATAGGTGCATTAAATTTTTGACTCAGAATATCTGTAAGATTAATTTTAAATCCATTTTGATTAGTCCCAATCTCTTTAGTTTTTATGTCGTGATAGATATAATTTAAATTCTTACAAATAGGAACCTTCTAATCAAGGAAGCTTACATCTTCTATGATGGTCGATGGGTTGTGGACGGTGACCTCAGTTCATGGAACATTTGATTTAAGCGCATTTTCCTCAAAATAGGAACATTTTGGCTTAGGCTCATATGAATCCTGCTTGCAAACTTGACTTCCTTCTTTTCCCTCTCAACCCAAAAACTTTGTTGTGTGTATGAGTAAAAACATAGGTCTTAGAGTTTATCTATAGAAAAAGAATAGAGGACAAACAAAAATCAATAAAGGACAAGCAAAACGTAGGAGTCTGTTCGTGCTACATATCTAATATGTTCTTTTGTCTACATTCTGTGGAGAATTTGGTGTGGCATGTCTTCTTTGTAGTTTCTACTTCCTGTTAGCTATCTATTTTTAGACGTACTCTTGACATGTAGGTAAGAAGATAACTTTCATTTCAACGCATCTAACTGTATCTGATGAGATCAAGAAGAGTGTTTTGTGCTATTACTCTGAATGATTGTAGCTTATGTTTGGTTGAAACAGAGTGCCTTCGGAACGAAGGATGATCGCATAGTTCTGCATGTGCCAGTTCTATATATCCTTCCTTTAATCTAAACAAAAACTGACTTATCAAATATTTGATGCCAGGAAACACGCTGATGTCTCAAAAATAAAACAAAATGATTGTCAGCCTTGAAAGATCATCAATGCTTGGGAGGACATTATTTGCTATCATATTAACTCTCCAACCAGGCATAGTTGCTCTAGAGTTTCAATATGTTCTGTGGAATTTTCTAGCTAATAATTTACTTGCTGGAAATAATTTCCATGTTGTCTTTTTCTCTATTTTTTCATCATTCTTTTTATCTTTGGAACCTTAAAGTTATTTAAGAGTATGAATATGTTGTTCCCAAATTTTGTATGCTGGTGGGGAAAGATATAGGATAATTGTACTTTATAATGGGAGAGTGGGAACTTTATTCATAATTTTATGATTGAAATTTGATCACTGAGCAAAACCTTTATGGTAATCCTCTATATAAATGAGATTATTATTTCTGTTTGTTTCAATATTTTGCTATTTATTTTCTTTTAATGCATGTTTCTGTATTATTTTGGTTATTGGGGAAAAATTGTCGAGTACGTTAAAATATTTTTTTTGTTTCGTCTTTATGTATAGGAAGCATATATATTAGTTTAGTTTGACATCTTTCATAGAATTGAAAGTACGACATATGTTACTTTTTTGGTTCAAAGAAAGTACAGTGCAAGACTCTCTAATACTTTTATGAAGTACATTTTCTTACTTTAATATATGTTGCTAATTGATACTCCTATTTTATATGAAAAATTTATATCATTGTAGTTTTAGTAAGACTATTTTTTGTTGCCTTTATATTGTATGGTTGTTTTTTCTTTTAATTTATTAATTTACCCTCATAACTCATAGCTTTTCATCTTCTCCTCTTTAAAATACCCTTAAAGCTTCCATACTTTAGTCTCCATAACTCCCAAATGCTGGAGTTTTTTGTTGTTTAATTAGTTTAGGAATATAACAATAGAGGGTTGAAATGTTATGATATTGTTAAAAGTTATAAAACAATTGGGACGGTTTGGTAGAAGGGCCAAAAAAGTTTTCTTATATCTTCAGAATTTTGTTTTTTCATTGACATTATAGATGTTATCATTGTTAATGTGAAATTAATTCTATGTAGTGTAGAGTGTTAGAGCTAATTGATCAGAAAGAATATTTATATTTGTGATTTCATCTACATTAAAAATTAATTTTTGTATGCCTACATGAAATTTATTTTTCTACCTTTACCAATTTACTGAAAAGATCAATAAAGTATTTTGTAAAAAAAAACTTCAATGACCGCGCGAAGCGCGGACAATGTTACTAGTTACTTTATACGCCATGCAGTTACTTACATGTATATTAACTAAGGAGCATTATAGGAACAACACAATGATAGAATTGTTCTAGGAGGAACTGTTAGAATATATATAGTTGATTTGACGGCCAACAATCGAAGAAAAAGGGTTTGATCTGCATAGTTTGTGCATATGTAATTTACCACTAACATAGTTTCAGCAATCCAGAGGTTGACAAAATCTTGAAAGAATACGATGATATTTTGTGAAGCCTCCTATAGTTGGTCTTCATTTGGAACTAATAAGCTATGATCATCTCATTTGGCAGGATGTTGGAGTTGATAATGGCGAGGACTTGAACTCTAGCAATGGTCCAGATTCTAATATTGAAGATGAGTTAAACTATTATGAGGTAAATGTTTGGGTGGATTCCTATGCTAGTTTAGTTGTGTTATTTTATATGTTTTGAAAAGAAAAATAATTAAGTAAAAATAATCCCTCTTGGTTTTTCTTACGACAACGGTTCTTTACCAAGGAATGACTCTTTGAACCGGGTAGTAGTTTTTTTTTTTTAAGTAGAATTTTGAAAAAGCTTTGAACTTTTTCCAACGATGGACTTCCTAGACAGTTTTCTTGAGCGTTTAAAGTCTAAAGAAAAATACAAAAAAGATTTTTTTTTCTTTTTTTTTTCAACTGATAATGGAATGGGAAGATCTTGAGTATCTATGCTTTTTGACATGTTTTATGTTAGGGCATAGAGCTGGAGTATTTGCACTGAGTACTTTCTTCTTTATTCTTGTGACTATATGCCTTGAGAGTATATGTGTTTCTTTTGACGCTTGAGCTCGTCTATTGGCTCCTTTTACTTCCTAGTGTTTGGATTTATGATGACTGTGCTAGTTGCTTTAACTTGAGAGTGTGGTCTGAGCTGTCCTGAGTAAGTCATATGCATTGTGTGAAGTGAGATTTTGGTTGTACTTTGTGACATCCCTTGTTAGTCTAGAACTTGCCCCGTGTGTGATTCGAAGCGAAATGATTAAGTCTTGTGAGTTTAGGAAATGATATAGGCGTTTCTTTGATTGATCCTTCAGTCTATTTGCCTACCAATGATAAAAATTATCCTTTGTTAGCCCATTTGAGCCTGTAAACCTTTTCTTTGGTACCTACATTACAAGACGAATCCCTTTTGTTTTTAATTAAATCTTGTTGAACCTTTACCTCTGAAAACACTTAAGTCGCTAGAAGAGAAGGAAAAGAGATTGTGTAGTTTTTGAGTGGAACCATAGAAATGCCAAAAAGTGCATGTGTGTATTGAGAGAGCCACTAGCTGGAAATACCAATTTATGGAGGGTGTTGAAAATATTTTGAAAAAAGAAAAGAAAATACAAAATAAAAAATCCCTCCAATTCACTTTGATATGTGCTAGTGCTTATGTAGATATGCTTAAAGTGAACGAGGTACATTATTTACAGTTTCGTAGCGATATGTTGAGTGATCATGCGGAGGATGTGCTTAAAAGTTAAAGTGTATTGTATTAAAAGTGCTTAGGAGGGTTGGTCACTATTATCTATATCTATCCTACTCGTCCCTTAGCCTACACTACAACCCATAAAGACCTAATTGATCCTAGACTTTGCGAGCTTAAATTAGTAGAGACTTACATTATGGGCAAGCCTATGGTACGAGCTTTGGGGGCACATGAGTTTCTTTGCGAGAGTGAGTGAATTCTTTCATTCTATGAGTCCTTAAATTATATTTGAATTCATATTTGAGTGTTCGGGCTGATTACTCTCTTTGTTTTGTTGGTGAGGGCGCATGCTTTACAACGGATTGGTAAGGAACTCGTATCTTTAGTTTGCACCAGAAGCGAGTCACAAAGAGGAATGTAGTGGAGTCAATTTTTGATGCTAGGATGTAAAAAGAGTCACACAAATATTTTAAATAGTCTTGGCATTGGTCTAAAAATGAGGAGAGTATGAAGAGCCCTTATGTCGGGTTCTAAGCATTGATATAAACCATTGTCATTGGTGTGATGCTTGAGTATGTTTTGAAATGTATTTCTTGCCGATGTGCTTAATTTTAGGTTGCTCGAGGACGAACAAGAGTTTAAGTGTGGGGTGGTGATAAATGATGAAAAATGCATATTTTTAGTATATTTGCATATTAATTCTTGTGTGAGTCGCAGGAGATTACATGGTTTTTGAAGTGAAATATGTTCATTATGTGTTTCTTATGTGTAGGAACGAGTTTGGATGATAAATGATCAAAAGATGATACTTTGACACATAAAGGAAGAGATTGAAAGAATTGGGAGCTCGTCCAATCTCGTGCGTGGCACGAAAACGGACGCGAAAAAGGAGAAAACTGAAGGCACAAAACAACAAAGTGAAGCGAAGTCACGGATCGCTTCGCGAACTGGAAAATTGCAAAAGCTGAGTCCGCGTCCATGGGTGCACGACGCGCGAAGGCAGACGCGGATTCCAGCTTTCCTATCCGAGATTGGATTGTATTAGACGGCCCCCACCCTACCTAGGTCATATAAATACATTCTAAAACGTAACTTTGGAGGAGGAGACACTACTTTAGGGTTACACAATACCTTTGGAGGCAAGAATACACTAGGAACAAGGAGGAAGATTCAATCATGAGTTTTTCCTTTCTTCTTCGTGTTTTCTATTGTTGGTTTTGAATTTTAGTATTGTATTTTCACATACTACTATGAGTAGCTAATTTATTATTTAGGGTTTTGATGGAACCTTTTGGAGGATGAATTCTTGTTAAGTTTCAATATAATTTAGCCTTTGAATTCCTTTACTTGTTCTACATGATTATTTCTGTTGATTGAATGATCATCAATTGACTGTGCCTATTTATTATGTATTGCTTGGGAAAGGGTACACATTTAAGTAGTTGTTGAACAACGTCACTCCTAACATATATGAGGAATCAATACAGCAGGTTTAAAGGTAGGTTTAGGAATAACAAAGCCTTGACGTAGTCATGGTGAGCGGTAAGATTGTGCCAGCTAGTCTAGTTCGGGAGAATACGTCTAGTAAATTGTTGTAGTTGCTCGGGAGAGAATTACGACAACTGAAATACTCACAATCAGTAGAGAATAATTAGGCAAAATTATAAGAGACGTAGCGGGAAGAATTCCGACAATTGAGGAAATCATAACTTTAGACCTCCTTAATCTTGTCTCCAACCCTTAGTATCTTTAGTTGTTAATTTACTATTTTAATTTGTTAGTTAATTAGTTAGACATAAGAATCTTAATATTTATAACTTATGAATTGTTCAAGCTTGTCTTCTTGGTAATAGTGAACAGTTGTAGCTAAACCTTAGTTCTCTATGGGATTCGACTCCGGACTCTTAAACCGGATTATATTTGCAGTGACCGCTTATCTATTTTAGGACTAAAGTTGGGCAGGGAAAAAAAATCCCACACTTAAACTATCCATTTATCAGTAAACCATATTAATCGATAATTTACAGCTCATTCATCACCTACATCATGAAAACTATCCATTTGTTCTTTTATGACTAATTTATATATATATCTATGCTGCCCTTACTTCATATTAAATTTTTTTAAGATAAATTATTTTCCAACATGGACATCTATATGCTTGGAATTTTAGTGTATTGTAGAATTGTGTTTCTTATCCATAAACATTGCTTATGTTGATTCAGCGATCTTTTGGCAGATCACAGTCAAGAAAATAAAGAGGAAGTTCTATATTTGAAAAAATGCATGAAATTTACAAGAAATACAGGTGCTCCTTTTATTTGCTATATATTAACACTTGATGGTCCAAAAGCTTAGATAAGAAGATGTTGATGCACGAGATATAATATTGTTAACCTGCTTCCATGTATTGACTTGGTGCATATTAAGGTTTTAAATGTTTCTCCATGCAATCTCTTCAAAATTTGAAACAACGTTATCAAACTGAAGAAAATTGTCGTGAAAAAAGATAAGATTTTCTTCTGTTTACCCTAAAAATTGAGTAATAATTAAACTTATATTGTGATTTTAAGGATATGTGATTTAAACCAATACCAATTGATAAACAACGAATTAAATAGATAAATTGGACAATAAAATAAATCAAACCGGTCTACAAATAATGCCTCGACCTCGATTCGAGATAATCTCGAGGTTAGTTAATAAGAACAGTAGAGGATGGAACAAA